CTTGGGGCTGAAATGTGAAACTCACATATACACTCTAGCCTCCTTAAACTAATACAAAATACGTAAAGTGATAAATCTCTCGTAGACTATAGCTGTTTTGCAGGGTGATCGATGTCTAGAATAATGACTTCTCTAATTTCTGCATTTCGAGGAGAATTTTTTCATTTTTCTTTACGAGAGTCCTATTTTTTATTTACATTGTTGCTATTCGCTCATTATTTTTTATTTTTTTAAATTCGTTTTTCTTAATTTATCTTTTTTATTATTATAAACATTGAATTGATTGACAAATAAGTGTGTTTTACATATCTATGATATCTACAGCAGATCTTAAACACCATCATATATATTAATCAAGTCACAAATAATGATATTCATTATTTTTCAAAATTATAACTTGATCAATTTTCCAAAAGCAACATTCGAAAATTTGATACCTTTTATTATTGGTTGCTAAGATCTGTAATGGGGGCCTACGTTGTTAAGGGTGTGGGCGCGGGGTGGGGGTGGGGGGTGCAGCCGCGAAAACTTGACCTTAAAACTTACACTCACTATTTTCTTCGAAAATATATGTGAGTTCCACGAAATCGTCGTATACTTTATGAGTCAAATTACAGGCATAAGATAATAGGATCATTGTAACAGAGAATAACTTTCTTTTGATCAAGACTATCATTCTCCGTATCAGCATGTGCATTCGTTCAGTGAAACAAAGGTGTGGCTTCGATTAGATTTCTGATCGAACATTGATACTGAAGACTGAGAGAGGAACAGAAAAAAATATTGATCTTGAACATTTCAAACATGGTGTTTATTGATTATCTGTTTTAATAAAAGTAACAACAACAGAAATGAATTGTTTTGAATGAACGTAGAAAATAAAATGATTAGGAACCCAATACATTTTTTGGAAGGATAAATCAGGCTTCAAATATACAGTTTTTAAATGAATATTTCTTTCAAAATGATAATCAGATACGATTCCGTACAAATGTCCTATTTTTATTCAAAGGAATTTTTCTAAATTAGAAATCGTTTCTGAATCAAACTATGATATCATAATCATTATCACGAGCAATACGACAAGATTGCTTTTCTTTCGCTGTTGGCTAGATATATAATATATGTACAAGTTGATGCATTCGTATACATGTCAAACAGAACGATGAAAACAAAATAATAGAAAAAAGGTTACTTAGAGAGAGATAGGAATAAATTAGTACGTTTTGCTCATCTTTTTCTGCTCTTTTGAATGATTCATTTTTTATTGAATCGGTTCGAGATCGATAATTCCGAACTGTTTCATGTGATTTAACAAAAATTATCATAATTGATCAGACCTTATGATATCATCATCTTGTTTCTTTGACAATGAAATAATTTATTCTTCAATATTGCTGTCATCATATGCAACACTTTGATGAATCATTTTTGTTGGTGCAGGAAAGTAGACTGTGTTACTCTAGAAATATGAACTAGCTTCATCACTTAATTTGATATTTTTGTTTCAAATTATCATATAAACATTTAACATAGTACAATTCATTTTATAATCGATTCTTATCTAAATCGTCTATGTGAAATACATCATCAACACCTAAACATCGTCTTAAGTAAGAAACGGAAATGATTGATTATGAAAAATTCAAAACTTTTCAAATAACTCATTACTATCATCGAAATAAGACATACCATAATCGATTACTTTATTGATAAATAAGTAAAATTCTTTCATTAAGCATTCACTTGTATTCTTATTAGTTTCTCTTAACTACTTTAATACTAAGCGTATATTAATGGCATAATAATTGTCGAATAGCCTGTAATGTAGTTTGATAATCAGGAAATACATTTCGTTAATTTAATCGTTGCGATATTTTCTTTTGAAAGAGAATAAAACAATCTTAATTCACAACTAAGAATATTTCCATAATGATAAAATATGAAAAACAATTCAAAAGAAAAAAGTGAATAATAATAACAACAACAGCACCAACCAAGAGAAGAAGAACAAAAAGAGAACATGAAAAAAGGCGAAAAAGATCAATAATAAAGAAAGTATAGAAAAGCTTGTCAGTGTAGCCCCTTGGGGCTGAAATATGAAACTCACATATACTCTCTAGCCTCATGAAAATAATACAAAAAAAACGTAAAATGAAAAATCTCTCCTAAACTATAATTGTTTGCAGGATAATTAATCACTGAAGTAAAAAATTCTCCAATCTCTGCATTTCGAACAAATTTTTTTATTTTTTTTCCTACGGGTGCCCAATTTTTCATTTTCATTGTTGCTATCCGCTCATTATTTTTTGTTTTTCTTAATTTATCATTCTTATTATTATAATCATTAAATTGATTGACAAATAAGTGTGTTTTACATATCTATGATATCTACAGGAGATCTTACACACTATCATATATATTGATCGAGTCAAATGATGATATTCATTATTTTTCAAAATTCTAACTTGATCAATTTTTCAAAAAACAAGAACTCTAGAGAATCGAACATCTTTTATTCTCAATTGCTAAGGTCTGTAATTGGGAGGTGTCTGCAATGGGGAGGGGGGGGGAGGGGTCTGTAATGGAGAGGGGGAGGGATAGGGAGCCGCGAAAATTTGACCTCAAAACTTACACTCACTATTTTCTTCGAAAATATGTGAGTTTCACAAAAGTGACCACTATAGAATGAGTTCTATGAGCGGTAGTATAATCTTTCGATAACAATAAAAAATCATTTTATTTCTTTTTTTTACTTATATTTAAATAGGACATATTTTTGTCTAGTTTGAGTAAGCGACGAGCAATACCAAACATCCCAAAAAATTGCATCAGTGTTGGTAAATTCAGACCATACATATTTATTATCATGATTTGGTCATTAGTAAACGACGAATCTCTTCATAAATATGAACCAGTTACAGCCATAATGTCATTTATGCAAATTTTTTAGACACTTGAGCACAACCCATCTAAAACATAATTCACAAAGAGGTAGTTGAATCTGGTTATTGTATGATGAGCAGTAATTTCCTATTTATTTTGAAGTACGAATATTTCAAGATTTAATTTTAATCAAATATCCATTTGAACTTCGTTAAATTAACTGCGTATTTCTATCATATTTTAATTTCATCTTTAGATGTATTCAATGTGTCTGCGATGCTGATAATCAAAACGAAATGTATAGTAAAACCATGACAGCTAAACTATAAACGACGATACAGCAACATTTACTTTTGAGCCGTTTCTGCTTTCATTATACTTTCTCGGTGATTATTACGGACGCCATCCAGTTGTGTATTTGTTACGTAAATCACCACTGTAAAGAAACCGATGAAAATATTTTATTCATTATATATACATAAATCATTGACCATGATGTTGATAAAAGAACTAATGTAGAATGCTCTTTTATGTAAGCATAAGATTTTATATTGTACACATTTTTTTCATGTCTTTTTTTATCATTTCGTCTAGTTTCGTAGCAGTCTGAACAAGCCGATTATCAAGAACCATACCATTGATGAATTAGCTCAATCAACGTCATTAACACAGTATACACAATCTACAGTCTCTCAAGGATAAAAAGTATATTTGATTTTCAACCGTTGCTTTTTTTCTTTCTATTGTATTACTATATATAAATTTGTACGTCATTATATAGATGATAGAATCAGCTATTTTCGTATACACAGATTATATTTTATTTACGCATTATTTTGTTCTATTTTGTATATGTTTAAAAATAACCTTTCTTTGTGATATTTCAACAATAAAAATAGCAACATAAAGAAAAGAAAAATATCCTATTTAACCTTTTTGCAGTTTAAGAGTATAGGGATGTCCCAGCGTTTTTTTTTGAAAGCTGATTGTGTTTTCTAGTCGATAAATTTCATAAAAGGTCACATATTCTATTACCAAGAATCGATGCTGATGACGTAGCTCTGAATTGAAGTGACAATGTCACTAAAAATTCAGACTCAATTAGAATTCTGTTTAGAGTCTTTTGTAATATCGCAAATGCAGATGAAAAAATATAAAAAGTTCATTTTTTATTTTTATTCAATAACAATATCTTTTAAGTGAATCTTAAAATTTATGATTAGTCAAGCAATTTCGACTGAATTTTCATCTTTATTTTTAAATTTATAAATAACTTTAAACATAATTTTAATACAATCTATTGCATTCGCTGGAAGTATGGCGATTGTGCTTTTAAACGATTTAGACAAATGAAGAGAATTACAAAGAAACTTATTAAAACCCAACATGATATTGAGTTTGTGAGCATGTGTCTAATTAATGGTTTCACACCGAAGTTCGTTAGATTCAAATTATCTAATAAAAATCATATAACATCAATGAAACTAAAATATTTTCAAAGACAATTGCTTTTTTCTGAATATTAGGAAAACAAAAAATTCTCAAAAAATTAAGAAATGAATTTGATCAAAACAAAAAAAGTTTTCTGATATATTTGAATTATATCATTGTATAAAATTAGACAATCAATCTTTTAATCAGTGCAAAGTATGATTTTTTGGACCATAGATGGTCCTGTTCAAAACTTGAAAATTAAAGTTCGGGCTGTGAAAACTCTCAGCATATTATTGGGTAGAGCTCGTCGAGTTGTATTTGGAACAAGTTGCTGAGCGAATCCGGACTGGAAATTATTCGAATCTGGCAATAACTTCACCTACATTTAAAAAAATTCACGAGTCAAAATTATCTAAATTATTGGGAGCAGTAGATGATCATACTGAATCATCGTTATTGAATATAAATAAACTAGTATATAATTTCTCAGTTAAACAACTTACAACAGTCCAAATGATACTATTAAGTAAATTATGGAAGTTTTGTACAGAAGGAAAAATAATGGATCCATTAAATGTACAAACTGAAAATTGAATATAATATTTATTGATTGCAAAAACAAACTGATGAAAAGAAGATTGATTGAGTGAAAATGACAGAAGACAATAATACAGCAACCCATGAATGTAAATATAGGTATATCTATATCTAATTTAAGTAGTGATGAAACTGAAGCTTTTAAAGAATTAAAAGAAGATCAAGAAGATGGCGTAGTTATTATGGACAAAACTGATTACATGAAAAAGATTAAAGAACTTTTAGATGATCAAAGTGAATTTCGTTCAGATAATAATGATGAATCTGTTAAGGATGAAAACTTAATAAATAGATGTTTGGCACAATTAGAAAAAAAATAAAAATATCTTGGATAATGAATATAATTATTTATTTACATCAGAAAGTTGAGTTCCAGTATTATACTGTACTGTTAAAGTCCACAAAAAAAACTTTCCCTTAAGATCTATAATACTAATGTGTATTACACAAAACTATGAATCAGCAGTCTACTTAGCAAACATGCTGAACATTTGTAAAGAAAAAAGTGCATCAACTATAAAAGATTCTTTTGAATTCATTGATAACATTAACAAAAATGAATATGCAACAAAATGAAACCATGGTTAGTTTCGATCTTCAATCATTACATTCAAATGCATCTAGAGGAGAAGCTATTAAGCTTACAATTGGCCTAATTGGAAAAAAAAAAAGAAATGCAATTTACAAAAATAACCAAAAATACATAATTCATCTTGTCCAATTTAGATATTAGCAATGTGCATTTTACATTCTTTAGTCAATCGGACGGTATTGCCATTGGTAGCTCGTTAGCATCGACTCTACCAGACTTATTCATGAATTACTTAGAAAAAGAACAAATAGAACGATTAACAAAGCACAAAGTTAATAAATTGGCAAGATATGGTGTTGATGTTTTTGAAATAGTTGAAAGAAATAGAGATGAAACATTAAAGGTCTTAAATAATATTACAAATATACATAATAATGTAACATTTACTGTAGAATTTCAACAAGATAATTGCATTTCTTGTTTAAATGTAAATATTAAACGATCAGGAAATCAATTAGAAGCAGTATTATATAGAAAAGAAATAAATAACAATTTATATCTAAAATGCGATTGTTGCTAACCTAGATAGAAAAAATTAGACTTTATTATCTTCATTATTTACTCACGCATGTTGTTTTTGTTCATCAGATGAAATTTTAAACAAAGAAATACAACACATAAGAAATGCTCTAAGTCATAATGAGTATCCGAAACAGTTTATACAACAAAAAATGAAAAGTATTTTATGTTAAGAAAATCAAAAACAAAACAACAAGATCATAACAACAATAACAATAATCTAACATGAGACAATACAGAGGATAAAATTAATTTAATTTTAAATTACGCTAGATACGAATCATTTAAGTTTAGTAGAAAACTAATGAGAACTACTCGTCCGACCAAAATTCATACCAGCAGCATTTTCAAGAACATAACACAATAGAACAACATTTGAAAGAAAAATGTAAGAAAAAAATGCAAAAAAAAACAATTGGTTTTATTTATTGTATTGAATGTAAACATTGTAAGAAAATATATGTCGAACAAATAGAAAAAGACATCGATGTAAGAATAAAACAACATTAAGAAAAATATCAATTAAATAATGGACAATCATCAACTTTAATAGAACATTCGGAAAAATGCATCACAGTTTCAACTTCGATGAACCAAATATACTAGCATATGATTCCAATGAGTGAAAATGTGAAATCAACGAAATACTTCTCACAAAAAGATTTACTCATTGGGCTTTGAATGAATCTTAAAACTATGACTAGTGGAAAATTGTGAAAAGAAAAAACTTCGTGAATCATAGAACATTAATATATTCGTGACATTTTGTAAAAATTCTGGTAATTGCTTAACGATGACACATGTCTGTGCTGCATGCTTGCAATAAAAAAATGAACATTTTATATATTTTCATCTTTACTTCGAAATTTAAACAAAAATTCTGACTCCATTGTTTACATTGGCCCTTATTCAGACACATTCAAATTTGTGCAGTGAGACATCTAGAAACTAAAGCAGAAGTGCTGTAGATCCTGTTTTCTTCTGTGACATTTGTTAGTTATTGAAGTATCGTATTTTTCAAATATTGTTTTTATAGTCTTCAAAGTCATTTGTTGAAAAGGAAACATATCTGAGTGTTATCTATTATGGTAGAATAGTGTACAGTGCTTCTTTCCATAAAATAAAGAGGAATGACGTTCAGAATATATCAAGTAAAGGCTAAAATTAAAAAGCGTTTAATATGGTTTTATTATTTGATATTATCAATACTCCATGCACATGAAAAAATAATGTTCTGCCTCGTCACATGGTTCTTTTTCTTTGTCATTCTTTATCTAGCAAGGTATTACTATTATGATTTTGATTGATGCGATTTGCATTATTCTTGACTGTTAAAAATGTCTATTTATTTCATTATCTAACTATTTCAAACTGCAATCAATGAAAAAAGAAATAATGTGCGCCACAACGAGGAATCAATCGATAACAACAACACACTTGTTTCACATAGAAGAAATTTGTGTGAAGATCTACCGAGATTTTTTTTTTTGAATTTATAACTATTACTTTTTGTGTACTTTATTTCTTGCTCAAAACATATTATGCACAAAAAAGCTACAATCCGATAAGAAAAAAAACAAATTTGAAAACTATTAATAAAAGACTTAAGTAAAAAGTTAATTTTAAAAGAATTAAGAAAAACCTGAGCAGAAATACGCAAAATAAACTGACTAGTAGTTTGAGAAATTATATCTTACGTACCATTATACCTAGAAAACGTATCTTCATCGTGCATGATTAATCAATCTATGTTCATTTAAAAAATATTTAGGTTCCTATGAATGACAAGAAGAATAATCATTTCTCAAATGAAAAATCATTCAGTACCGCTAAAATTAGTCGAACCTTTACTAGATATTGTATATTAAATATTTCACACGTCTGATCCAATTAAAACAGTCATAACTTCAGCTTGCGAATTTATTGTATTATGTTTATTGCATCATTCGATAAGAACCAATTGTTTCCTACAATAAGCAATAATAAAATTAAGTGATGAAAATTATACAATAATTTGAAAATAGTCAATATAATTACTACTCACATGGTTTGATTACAATTTTTTCGAGTGCTTGTAACGTTTCATAATCAAATGCGCTGAGATGAAAAATGGTTGTTCTTCTAAAATAAAGAGAATACTATACAGAGACTAATAAAATGTATTACCTTCAATAATATTTTCTTTTCTTCAATGATTCTAATATCGGACTAATTTTGAAAAACTAGAGTTTAATACTTGAATAATATATCGACTAAATGGTTCACAATGAAGATTGATTTCACGAGGCAGATATTCATAGAAAAAAATAGATATATATGCGTTATTGAGACTATGCCACCTTTATTGAACCATATCTTCAAACTCGGCAGTATTTCAAAAAATTATTGGTTGATCAAAAAAAGAAATACACGCTCTGAAGCTTACTAAATCGTTAACTGAAACAAGACGTTGACGATATACACATGTAGCAGCGATGGAATCGGTTCGTGCTTTCCTTAAACCGAACCGAATAAAGTTCAAATGTGTTAAAACTCTTCGCAAGTTATTGCATGAATGATTAGAAAGAGTATCATTCACTGTATCTGGTGATAATTTTTAGTGCTTTTGTATAATAATATTACCAGCAAAACTGAACTCACTTTCAAAACCTGCACTAGTCGCGGGTACAGCTAAAACACGAGCAGTAACTTTCATCAAAATAGAAGAACAAGCACGTTTCTTTTTCTAAAATGATGCCGAATTATATTTTTCATCTTCTTGGTCAGCATTCATAACTGATGTCGTTGTGTCTGCACCAGGTTTTAAATACAAGTCAATATTGATTATATGGGATGAAGCTTTTGACAAACTATGTTAATCAGCATAGGGCGCAGGTGTGAGTGGATGTGGGTGTCTGTCTTCACTGAATTCTTAGCCAGTGTTAGGCTCACATCCACACTCACACACTCACCCACACCCACATCCTCACCCTGATGAAGAAGAACAAATATGTAGTAAGAAATAAGAAAAAATAAGCAAAAAATGCTGCTGACATATATAACACATTGATCAAATCAATAAGTAAATATATATGTGATTGAGAAGTTTACATTTTCACCAGCAAATTGTGTCTGGAAATTCCTGCATTACTAACACTCTTCCCAATTATCTAAAGAATCAGACGTAGAGGAACATGAACTAGCCATTTTTTCATCTATTGATGAAGAATTTGACACTGCTGTCGAATTCTTATTCTTTGATGATAATGATAGTACAAGTTCTGGTCTGAGCTATTTGATAAATTCTTCTTCTCTTATTTTGTGTCGTTTGGTCGCCTTTTTTTTGTATTCGTATTTGTTTGGATTTTTTCCTGGTCAATTTGTAGTTGTAATTTTAATATCTCTAAAGTTTGAGCTTGATTATCACTCGCAGACATTTTTTTTCCTACAACTTGTAATCTAGAAACAAAGAAAATAACTAAGACATAATAGATTTATTATTCTATGGTTGCTCTCTGATGTTTTATTTTCCTGTGAAAAAATTTTTCGTTTTGATAAAAAAAATTGAAATTTCAAAATTCATTATTTTTAATTGGACGTAAATTCTTAAAAAATTCTGCTTATTCTGCAAATGAGAACGACGAATTTTCATTTTTTCCCTTTGACACAAAAAACTAATCTTAACCTGATTAAATCGATTTCACACATGACAGTGCATAATAGGATTTATTTTTTATTGTTTATAGTCTATATGTTATGAAAATCTAGTCTTTATTTCAAACAGCGTAAATACACTTGCGTAAACTAACAAGAAAGAAGTCAAATGCTACGCGACTTTTCTCAAACTATCTTACAGGACAAAAGCATTTATATAAATGCTAATTGGGTATGTATCACTCTAAAAAAAGCTGTTAGCGCAATCCCTTCGGGATTAAAATGTGAAACACGCCAAAACTGTTAGTTCTTATAAGATAAAGTACTGTTCTATCGATTTCTAGATTCTTTCTCTCATTATACTTTAATGCATCAGCTACAAATGCAAAACCGAAACAGCTCAAAGGTTTTATCGAGATTGTAGCCATATCCGGTCCTTCCTTGTACGCCGATACGATTCATGTCAGTCTACAACGACGTCCAGAGGTGTCTATCGAGCTGTATCATAGTCATAGCTCCACCTTTATATCCTCCCTTGCATTTCTAATACCGTTTGTGATGGATCCAAACCTTGTC